TTTTTAGGTTACATGTCATTAATAAGTCAATCCAAAAAGAGGTTTATTAATTGATATGATATATTGTCAATTATTATTGTCAAAATTTATAGTTTATGTGTTTATTAATGTGAGTATTAGACTGATACTTGGTTGAATAAACATATATGTGGTGATAAACATGTGACGATTTTTTTTTGTTCAATGTGATTAATAAGTCAATCCAAAGAGGGACTTGTTAATTGACATGATTTATTGTCAATGTTTATCTCTAAAACAAGGATATCTCTTGCAAGTTAGTATTACTGTCCAAAAACTTGATATTAATGTTGTGTTGATACCTTGTAAAGATGTCATAAATTGAATTTATTGATTACGGTTTATGGATTAATGAGCATAAAAATAGATTTGCTTATGTTTGAATTATGGTATATATCTGCTAACATTGATCACATTTCTGATCCATGTAATCAATGAGATTAACTTTAAGGAATGGAATGAGGGCATTATGTTAGTTCTCAATTGCATGGATATTGACCTTGCATTTTAGATAGAGCAACATTCTTTGAGGATGTTGAGTTTGGGGGAGAAACAAGATTAAAACATTGTCCTTAAGGAGGAATCAATCTTGATTCCTATTATTGCTTTCGATAGTATGCAGATTATGAATCAGTGATTGGCAATGTTATTCAATCTCCTATTTTGAATACACAAACTCAACAACCTCAACTTTGGACATCCTATGCATGATACCACATTTTTCATCAATTTATTATCTCTTTTGGTTTTGAGGTAAATACAGTAGATGATTTTGTGTACCAGAGATTAAGTGGGAGTAAATTTGTCTTTTTGGTTTTGGGCAAATATCTACGCAACCCAAGTTTGGATCATAAGAAAGCAACCAAATGGATTTTGAGATATCTATATATAAAAAAAGGCTATATGCTCAACTATAGGAAATCAGATATTTTGGAGATCATTTTTATTAAGAATCTGATTTTATTAGATGCCAAAATGGTTATCGATCCATATCGGGATACTTTTACATTTTAGCATGATGAGCCATTTCATGGAATAGACTTCGGTAGCTTCTTCCATAATGGCTGAATAATTTGTAGCATGGAATATGGTTATGGAAATTTATCACGAGGCTACACATTATTGGTATTGAAAGACCACTAAAGTTGTGATAATAAGTCAACAATGTTATATTCCAACAACATAAGTTCTATTAAGTCAATGCATATTGACATCAGGTTTCCTTCTATTAAAACAATAGTGCAAAATGGAAATATATAGCACATATGAACAAACTCCATGAAAGCGGATCCGCTCATAAAGGGATTACCTCCCTAGGTCTTTCACGAGCATACTACACACGTTGGTGTGATATTTGGTTTTAGTGGGAGTTTTATGGTGCTTTATGTGTTGTTTAACAACAATTATGTTTCTCTGTACATAATTAAGAATTCGGTTAACTCCATTATTAGTTTCACTTATTTGAAGTTTGATCTCACTTCAATCTAAATAGGAACTCGTCGGAAATCTATTTAGATTTTAAAACCACACATCATGTTTAATCTATGTCGTTAGTTATATATGTGTATGTGACCATTGATAGGTTTAGTTACGTAAATTGTAACGAAGGCCGCTTTGATCCTATACTATTATGATTAGTGGACGAGATTGTTTAATGGTACCAATGTTATAATAACATTCATTAAAGCGCTTATACAGTTATACGTACATTTATATATTCGTGGTCCAGTGGGAGATTGTTGGATAATTATGGGACCACTTCATAAATATGTATGATATATTATTAAATCCAATTATTATGGTAAGAATATAAATTGTTGATGGACCGATTTATAGAATATTAACTTACCTTGTGGGTTGAGTTCCCGGTTTGACTCAAGATCCTCAAGATCCCTTCCATCTCTCACTTTAGGGTTTATCTCCATCCATAAATACATGTGATGAGGAGCAAATCAAGATACACGAAATTACATAAACAAATTCGTGAGTCTCATTGTTGAGGTTTCTTAGAGGTGGTCTTGAGATCAACTGGTAAACTCATCCTAGTCTTCAGATCCGGAAATCATAATGAATCAGGTATGTAATCGTTCTTTAAGGTTTAAAGTTTTCTTTTGACAGATTCGAGATTAAGATCTAAAGCTTCCGCATTTTATGTTTTGGTTATGGAAATAACCAACATTTTTAGCTTCCCTCTTTCTCAGATCCACCCTTTTGTGATGACTTTGCAGGTGCATCTCCCAAATCAGCAGATGGTTAGGTTCAGTGAGGATGATACACTGACTAGCGTTGTTGAGAAGGAGAAAGATAGGAGATCAATGTTGACTGCTTTTTTTCTAAAAAATAAAGAAAATATCAGTGCGAGAGAGTATAAATATAGATATTTTCCAAAAAAATTTACGTGGGATCCGAGCTCACGTCGTTGGAATCATTGAAAACAAGGATTAATGCGAGGTCGTATGGTTTCTGTCAATCCCGCTGAAGGGGAGCGATACTACCTTCGCCTACTTTTATTGCATATTAGTGGGCCTACGTGTTTTGAAGATCTCTACACAGTCAACAATGTACAACACCCAACATTTCGGAAAGCAGCTCTTGAAAGAGGGTTAATAGAGTCTGATGATGGTTTATCACAATGTCTTACAGAGGCATCTTTATTTTAAGCTCCCAATGCTCTTAGAAGGTTGTTTGCAACGATATTGACTTTTGTGAGCCAGGAGATGTTCGTAAGTTATGGGATGACCACTACAATGCTCTTTTAGAAGATTATAGGCGACAATATGGAAGTGTTGATAGAGACCAAAATATGGTCCTCACCGACATCAAGGTATTCCTACAATCTATGAGTGACAATATTGATGGTTTTGATCTTCCAAAGATAAATGAAAATGTCGATTGGAATCTGGAATTTTTCGTGAGGTACACGAGGAATGCTCTATTGTTTTAGAATCAGAACATTTACAAGCTCGAGATTTTCTTAATCCTGAACAAAAATTTGCGTATGATGAGATAATGCGGCATGTCCATAGTAATATTCCAGGAGTTTTCTTCATAGACGGTCCCGGTGGAACAAGAAAAACATTTTTGTACAAAGCTTTACTTGCTAATATTCGTTCGTGTGGTCATATTGCACTGGCGACCGCTTCATCGGGTGTTGCGACTAATAACATGCATGGGGGGAGAACAGCTCACTCTCGCTTTAAACTTCCTATTAATCTTGAAAATAACTCGGTCTGCAAGATTTCAAGACAAAGTGGTACTGGTCAACTGCTTCAGACTGCAAAAGTAATCATATGGGATGAAGCGTCGATGGCTAAAAGACATGCTTTGGAGGCGGTGGACCGAACAATGAAAGATATCACTGGGGTGATGCTCCCATTTGGTGGAAAGATAATGGTTTTGGGAGGTGATTTCAGACAGGGTTTGCCTGTCGTTAGACGTGGACCACAAGCACAAACTGTGGATTCTAGCATACGAATGTCGCTTCTTTGGTCTTCGATTATCAAGTTGCAGTTAACTATAAATATGAGAGCACTAACCGATCCATGGTTCTCAGACTTTCTATTACGTGTCGGTGATGGAGTTGAAGAAACAGTGCAGGGAAACTTTATTCGCATCCCTGATGATATGGTAATTCCCTTCACTGAAAAAGAAAAGTCATTGAATGCTTTGATTGATGCAATCTTTCCATCCTTGGAAATTAATAGATCTCAAACCGATTATATTATTTCGCGTGCAATATTATCCACAAGAAATGATAGTGTCGATGAGATTAATGATTTATTGATCGGCTGATTCCATGGAGAAGATAAAATTTACTACAGTTTTGATGAAGCTGAAGACGATATAAATAACTTATATCCAGTGGAATTCTTGAACACACTCAGTGTTAGTGGTTTACCCCCTCATTACCTACGACTGAAAGTTGGATGCCCGATAATACTGTTACGAAATCTCGACTCATCAAATGGATTGTGTAACGGCACCCGATTGATATGTAAAGGTTTTCAACAAAATGTAATAGATGCTGAAATAGCTGTTGGTCAGCATGCTGGAAAGAGAGTTTTTTTGCCAAGGATTCCTCTATGTCCGTCTGAAGATGACATGTTCCCGTTCAAGCTAAAGAGAAAACAATTTCCAATCCGATTATGTTTCGCAATGACAATCAATAAGGCCCAGGGACAAACAATTCCAAATGTAGGAATTTATCTTCCAAAATCGGTTTTCTCGCACAGACAGCTTTATGTGGCATTATCCAGAAGGGTATCATGTAGGAATACAAAAGTATTAGTGATCCCTGATGATCAATTCAACGGTAGTGAAGTCTGTACTGCAAATGTGGTGTATAAAGAAGTGTTGCATGATCAATCATATGTTCATTTGCATTTGTAAAGAATCCAAACTTTTCATTCTTAATTCTTATTGATTTTGTATTAGTTAGCATAACTCTTAATAACGCTATTTCAATTAGTTATTTTATGTTATTTTTGCCGTGTCGTATCATGTTTGTTATATTTTAATTGGTTCGTTTCGTGTTAATGTAAAAAAAACAAGTTATCGCGTCATGTCGTGTCGGACTAAAACACCACATGACACCCCAATTTGATAACACTAATTGAGGAAAACGATTCTCATAAAGAAAACAAGTTAACCAATAACACACTGAACTTTACTTTTTTAATCAGGAAAAGTAGTTTTAACCCAAAATAGCAACATACATATAAATTTAAATCAAAACAAAAACATACGTATATTTGAAGTCCAAAAAACAAATCGTCTTTAGAAACTAATTTTCGTAAAAACTATTCACACCCGTCGTTTGACGCGGGTAAACGGCTAGTATATATATATATAATTTTTTTTTTCTGAAAATGTTGAACCGAAAATCGATTATTTGATAGGTTAAAGTAAAAATCTGTTTTTTAAAATATTGATTTTTAATTAATTGTTAAAAAGTAATTAATAGGGTTGGTTCGGTGGATTGGGTCAAATTTTGACAGGGCGGTTTTTGCAGGGTTTCTAATGTTGTAGACTTGTAGCGACGATGTGTATTGTTGTCCATCCAAGGTTAGGAGCTCCAACATAGAATCTATATTCAAGTGTCTGAAGCGCGATCGTTGAAATCTGCTTCCTTCAAACCCGAATCTGTAGACTCCTCAATTAGATTTTCAGACTCATGCATAGGTGGATTGGTCTGTATCACAAGGACTGACGTCAAAACCCTAACTTCGATAATGGATGCTAAGGACATTCTAGGAATCCCGAAAAGTTCACTGCCCATACCACAGGAAAAGAAATCGAGACCCCAGAAGGATTCTCAGAGAAAACCCGATGGCATTTCGCGCGAGGTTTGTACATTACATACATACATACCTCTGAGATAATTTGTGTGGTTTCTTGATTTTCTGAAGCATTTTTGGTTGTAGGTTTATGCGCTTACAGGTGGTGTGGCGCCTCTTATGCCTTCCATTGACGCCAATCAGTTAAAAAAGCGTCATCAACCTGAAAATGAGAAGGTTGGCTTGTGATCTTTTCTAATTTCTCTCCCAAGTTGCTTAAGTATAATGTCTGTAAGTTTGTTGGACTGGGGATTCTTGCTTGCGAAGTTGCTATTCTAGTTGGGTATAAGTTAATTATTTACTAATGTATCACCCCATCCGCAATTCAGTTCGTATTGACTTTGACACTGTCAACAATTACAGCCCAGTATTTCAAATTTGCCAAAAAAACGAGTCCCCTCTACTGCAGAAGTGAACTATGTGCTCAAGTCTGCTGACCATTTCATCAACACATGCTTTGAAGAATTACATCATGCATGGGTTGATTCTTTGATTGGTCTCTTGGATTATTGAACTACTTAGTAATTGTAGAGGGAGGCATGGGATCAACTTTACTCGGCCTTAGTCTTTTGTGTAAGATATTTTAAGTGAGATCACAAGTCACACGTGTCGTACATATTGACTTTTGATCATATTCACTCTTTTGTTCATTAGTTCATCACTCCCTACCTTGTATCCTCATTGATGTTGCTGTTATTGTTGTTCCTATCTCAGACACTTACTGGTGACTCTTGGTCATCGACACATTCGTAAAGTCATCTTTGCATTTTATATCCTATTAACCTTACCACCATGGTCTCTTGAGTGTGTCCTTTAACTTCTATTTTTCTGGTTTCAACTTGTTTGTCTTCAATATTTTATATTGGCTGCATTCGTTTTATGAACTTGATGTTTCTCAGAACCAAACCGGGCTTTTCTAGCTGTTACCACTTAAGCTCATTTTTCATTACTATTATTCTCATTGGTCATTTTAGAAGAACTGTTGCTGTGGCGTACTACGTTGCCTATTTGGTTTACTTCTATGATTGAAGTTCTACAGCATGCCTTTCTTAACAGCTTGAATGCATAACCAAAATTGATCTACCTTTTTTTTCGTACTTGACCAAAGTTGCATTACGTTGTTCTATTCTGTTATATCGGCTTATTTGGGAACACTTCTTTTTCAGATATGTAGCTTTTGTATGAACCTCATCTTTATCTTATAGTAACAATTGTATGATCAGAAGTAACCAGATCCTGTCAAATTGCATTTCTGAGCTTCCCTTAGCCAGAAAGAAGTGCATATACCGGGACATTGTGATTTACCTTGCCATGGTGGCTGGCATTTTTAGCTCACTTTGTAGTAATTTTCAGAAGTGTTACATGATATGGGTTTACCATTTTGCTTGTTAACAATATTGAGACTTTTTCTTCAGATAACTTGGGAATGGCTTGCTTTCACAAATTCTGCTCGAAAAGATAACTTGCAGCTGTACCATTGGGTATATTATTCTGTACCTTTTCATTTCTTGATCCTTAACCTCTTTTGTGATTTGGAGGTATTCATAAAATGTGTCGTGCTTCTGAACTTTTATAGGTTAGAGTTGTAAATGGAACTCCACCGACAGGAGATTATTCCTTTGCAAAATACAACAAGGTAGATGTTATTTCTTCCTTTTCATGACAGTTACTTTTGCATGAAAATCCTACAGGTTCTTGGTCATTGACTTGAGCATTCTGCATTGTAATAGCCTACTATTTTGTAGTCATCGGCTGCTTTCTTTTTCTTATCTTCATTATTATCAACAGTTTTGCTGTTAGTGGTAGTTGTATATGTGGAGATACCACAATGCAGAACTAAGATATATATATATATATATATGTTTGGATGATTGCTTGATTTGTATCTTGTTACCTTTGGCCCATTAACTGATATGTTTATTTTCTGCAGTCTGTTGATGTAATCAAGTACACAGATGAGGAGTATGAGAAGCATCTGATGGATCTGGTGAGTATGAAATTATGTTGTCAGATATTTTCTATAGATCATCTTTAAATCATATTGTAAGGGTCTGGAACTTATTATTAATAGATACCTGTATGGTATATTATGTTTATATGAGTTATAAGTTTGTCTTTGATGTGGTATTGAGCAATCTAAAATTGTGTATGCCAGACATGGACCAAAGAAGAGACGGATCAACTCTTTGATTTGTGTGAACGTTTTGATCTCCGATTTACTGTGATCGCTGATAGATTTTCATCATCATCATCTCGAACAATGGAGGAACTGAAGAATCGCTACTATAGTGGTAAGTTATCATATATGTGATATCTGACATCAGTTTCATTTTCATTATTCAGTAGAAGTTAATATTTGTTTGTTTTCCTTACAATCTGCAGTTTCCCGTACAATATTGATTGCGAGGGCCCCAACTCCTGCTGATGTTTCCAGTCACCCTCTTGTTAAGGTAAGCTGCTTTCTCCAACAAAGTTACATGCACAGCAAGCATTGTTTAACAATTTCGATGCTACACTTTTCTCAATGTAACTAGGAACCATACAATATCTCTCAAGAGATTGAGCGTAAGCGTGCGTTGTCCATGGTTCTCTCCCAGACAAAGCACCAAGAGCGTAAAGATGCTGAGGTATGCATTTTACCCTTCAAATAATCAAAGACTTTTTTTTTCTTTTAATATTAATATGGAACATAAGCTTTTTGTTTCAGGTTCTTTCTGAAGCTAAGAAAATAACTGAGTCCCGTATGGCTGCAAAGGCAAGTTTTGTACTGGATTTTAGCAATCTTGTCGTGTGAAGTGTTTAATAGCATGCATGGAATTTTAGTAATTTTATGAACTTGTGGAATCATGTGAAGGATTAAGCTTCGTATGCTATGCCCTTTATTTTCTGAAAAGATAATGCTTGGTTATGTGTTGTTCAGGCTGCTCAAGATGCAGAGTTGCCTGTCACATCAAATATTAGTCCGGAAGGTGTGGAGAAAACTAGTGTTCCTGCTGATACCACATCACCTTCTAGTATGCAGGTGGCTGCAGGTGGTGCACCTTTGATGTCAATGGCAGACAATGCTGCTGCTGCTGCAGCTTCCCTTCGCATGGTATAAGTATAACAAGTCTTTATGTGCCATTGCTTCTATATTATTATATATGATGTCGTAAGCAACATATCAAGAGCTGTTTTTTTTTTTCATCTTTGTACGCTGAAGGAAATTATTATTTCTTGTGTGCAGCTTCGGGTGTACTTGAGAACCTACGCACTGGATCAAATGGTGCAAGCTGCAAGCTCTTCAGCAGGATTGCGAACTATTAAGCGTGTTGAACAATTCTTACAAGAGCTCAAGGTTTCTTACTATCCATTCCTCTATACGATGCAAGATTTTTATTACTCATCTTCTGATGTTTGTTTATTATTTTACTCATACAGTAACATACGCTTTCCATTTTAACAGGTGAATTTGAAACCCAAAGTCCCTACTAAAGCTGTTTGTGCAGAGCATCTGGAATTGCGAAAGGAGATACTGACTCTTCTAAATCTTCAGAAACTGGTATAGTATAGTTAGTGTTAGACTTTCCTAATCCTACATGCTATAGATAATTGCATTTCTTGTTTCCCCCCTTCCCCAACCCAACCACGCTTCTCTTCTTTGCTTGCCTATACATTATTAATGGCCTTTCAACTGCTCTGCATTCACTATAGGAAGCTTTTTATTTTCAACAGCAAATGTTATCTTTGTTGTTTCGAGATGGTCGTTATATATTTGATGTACAAAACTTCATCTAATACACTCTCATATACCATCATAATTTATCAGTCAACATAGTGGATTCACATGTGGTGCAATTTAATACCTCACACTCTCATATACCATCATAATTTATCAGTCAACATAGTGGATTCACATGTGGTGCAATTTAATACCTCACATGTCACAAGTCACAACAATGCTGCTTAAGATTACCAGCCAGTTTCAGGATGACAGACTATCTCACTTGCATTTTACCATTTTTGATAAGTTTCTCCTGTTTGTTTCTTTTCCAGTTGCAAAATAAGGAGGAAGGTTCATATAATGAAACACCAGACACACCAAAGGTTCCTTGCTAAATGCTCTTTACTATCAGTTGTATTTTACTTTTTTGCATTTAATGCACATACATACATTCCTTACGCTTCAATATTTGTTATGATCTGACAGCGTGTCATGGACCAGGATCGGACATTCATTCCTGATTCAGTAGTAAGCTTTGGAGGTAATAAGTTTTGCTTGTAGTAAAATTTACTTCACTTGTGGTTTCAAACTTCTTTTCCTTCCTTACTTGTGTTGCTCATTATAATTTGCTTGTGTTGTAAGTTCTAAGGAAATCTTCAGCAAAGTTAAGTTCCTATATTCTAGGCGCATTAACGATAAAGCCATGGTTATATTCTTGTAACAGAAAAAACCAAATAACCGGTAATTGTTTTTTAGAAAAGGACAAGAAACTTGCAATTGTTTACACATTTCGGATTGTAGTCAGTAATCTTGGTTTTTAACCGGTAATCGTCATAAAAGTCCATTTTTTTTATCATACTACAGTTTCACTATATATATATATATATATATATATATATATATATATATTCTCTTTGTGTTATCTTACTGTTTGGTTGCTGTATTCTCTCTGTCAGGCCGAGCCGGACAGAGGGTTTTGTCTTGCTATAAAGATTATAAACAGGATATCCTTTGCTAGACAGAGAATATATATATAAGAATATCGTAACATTACTCTAAGATAATATCCCATATGAGAAAAAGAGAATATAGTCGATTATTGTAAGACAAGATCATGTGTTAGACAATGATAATACAGTAAGATTACATTAAAATAATAACCCTGAGTGAGACAGGATTATAGTAGGAGGATAACACCCTTTGTCAGACAGAGAATATAGTAACATTATACCATCTCAGAGAGAATACAATAATACTATAGTAAGATAATACAGTCCTTTTTTGTAAGTAAAAGAACATGGTTTTTTTTTTGTTAATAAGCCCAAAATATAAGGATTTTTTGAAGATTACCGGCTAAAATCCCAAATGTGTAAACGATTGCCGGTTTCTTGTCCTTTTTTTTTATAATAAATTGCCGGTCATTTTCTGGTAAAATAAAAATAAAAAATAAAAAAAATAAAGCCATGGGTTTATCGTGAATGAGCCTAGAAAAGAATATAGGGACTTAATTTTCCAAAATTCTAATCCTTTGGCTCTTATGGATGCAGAAAGAGTTGTGAAAAGGGATCAGAAACGCAAGGTATGTATCAATCCGCATGCTACTCCCTGCTTATTAGTTTGTCTTGTTCCAGATTATTACTACAATTGTTTTGATTTTTTTTTAATTAAAGGGACCTGGAGCTGGAGCTGGACCTGGAGCTGGAGCTGGACCTGGAAGAGAGGCTCCATCTTCACCAGCTCAGTCTAAAAGACCTCGAAAGCTGAAGGCTACAGATAGTTAGTTAATATGACATGACATGAGAGGTAAGATAACAAGTTGTTTGCTCTACTCTACCTTTTTTTTTTTTTATCATAATTACTCATTACTACACTGCATGCTGTTTATAACCAATAAATGTAAATCCTGTGCTTATGGGGTTCATTTTGGCAGCACAGCTTATAATATTCATTGGCAACTACTCACTTCTCTTGGGACATCAACAATATCATCATCTTCACTTCATGCTAAAATTGATCCTTTGTCCCTCAACTCCTCGTCAAATGCCAAACCAAATACACATAATAATGTAAATATTTGTAGCTCAAGTTGGTTGGTGAGTTGAAGACCTCTTTACTTTACCTTTTGAGGACTGGACTGTAATGTAATAGTATGAGTGGATGCAATCTCTTTTGTTTTCACTTTACTTGTTAAAAAATGTGGGATATTATGGGTGCGTTTGGTTGTGGAAAATTTTCCAACCACCTACACACCCACAAACACACACACACACAAACTCACACCCACACCCACCCCACCCCACACCTACACCCACACTCACCCACCCACACACACACACACATACACTCAACACCACTACCACAATCACCGACCTACCATCATCATCACCATCACCACCACCACTACCCCATCACTAGCACCACCACCGCCACCATCACCACCACTGCCACAATTGCCGACGCCACAATCACCGTCTGTCATCACCACCACCGCTGCCACCGCCACCACCACCACCACCGTCGCCATCATCGACACCACCACTGTCCCCCGCCGCTTCCCCCACCACCGCCACCGTCCCCACGCCCACCCTACTACCGCTACCGTTTTTCTAAAAATGAAAACCGATAGAAAAATACACATCTAAACACGTTTTTTGATTTTCTAAAACTGAAAATGAAAAATGAATAAGTTTTAACTAAACGCGTTTTCTAAATTTTCCAATGAAAACCGAAAACGGAAAACGAAAACTAGAAAGGGAAAAAGAAAAATAGAAAATGAAAACTGTTTTTCCGTAACTAAACGCAACCTTACCGTTTCCAACCAAATGTGTTTTCAAAAATTTCCATTGAAAATCGAAAATGAAGATTCAACTCTACTTTTTGAAAACATTTTCTTAAAAAATGAAACAGTTTGGATAACTCTATTTTTTGAAAACATTTTCTTAAAAAATGAAAACATTTTTCCAAACGGACCCTATATTTTTCTTCTTGAGGCTTTCTTAGCACAAAATATCACTGACTACTAAACAACTTTATTTTGTCAACTCAGATCCGGAACAAAATGAAGCTTTAACAGCATAGTCATTATTTAACAGGAAAAAAATAATCAGCAATCCACAAATTTAACAGGAATATAAACTCATTTCTAAGCATGATGTTGATGACTAAGAAGCTTTCATGATGAAATCCCAACTCATAAACTTGATGTCAAGGCCCTACTAAACATCTCCTCATACCAGAACAACTAATATTTAGGTGGAACCCAAAATTACGATTAATACTATGCTATTGTGTACTCACTCTTGTCACATATATTCGTTTTGGTAGAACCCAAAAAATGATGACTCGTATCTTCACGCCATCAAAAAGTTTACTAGTCTCTGAGACCATAACACTCATTTTATCTAACAAAATGTATGATTGAGAGATCTTGAATACTTTCAATTTATTTTTTCATTATATTGTACGAAAAAAGTTTACAAATCTTTGAACCCATCAAACTAGAAACATCTTTTGAAAACATTAGCACGTTTGAAAAGTATCCGTAAACTCTCAATCTTTAGCATTTACATGAAAACCCTAATATCAAATTTTGAAAAGATGATGAGTGAGTAACTACTCATAAGGTCCACAAAAATATCTACAAGATCTTTTAACTTATATTTTTTGTAAGGGTATTTTTTAGCTCAAACAAAAATATCTACAAGATCTTTTAACTTATATTTTTTGTAAGGGCATTTTTTAGCTCAAAGTTTATATATATATATATATATATATATATATATATATATATATATATATATATATATATATATATATATATATATATAGGGTTAGGTTGATGTGAGACCACTATATTTTGTAAGATGGAGAGACGCAATCATAGCCACTCATTTTATAGATAAAAAAATAATTTTAAAATGCAAAATAATTGAAAATTTTCGAATTTTTTTAAATATTATTTTCGTCACTTTTTTTATCAAAAAAAATAAAAAATAAATAAATAAATTACCGTTTTTTTTTGAAATATCTGTAAAATATTCTAGTAGAATATTAGAATATTTTACATATCTGTCGAATCTCCTACAATAATAGAATATTCTAGGATGAGATTAGTGCAGATAGTAGTAGTAGTAGAAGAGACTTGGTAAATTCAAGGCAATCCTTGAGGAAAGTACGGATAGATGTGGAAGGTAGTATGGGCCCGTACTACTGAAAGCAGAGGATCTGTACTCGAGTCAAGGAGGGCCGAGATAGAACCAGTGAACTTGTAATATGTGAGACCTCCTGAAGTTATGTATGACTCTGACGGTTATGTGTTTTGTTTCAGAATGGTGATGATTACGCGACATGGAGGAGGAGGTTCAGGATCAGGATCAGGATCGGGTTGGGGATCAGGTGTCGAGCCAGTTGATGAGGGATTACGTGAGTTCATTGCTTCTGAGATCACTAGAGGCATCCTTGAGTCGACCCTGGTGATTTTCGGGTCGATCAAAGAGGGGATTATTGAGCTGATGGAGGATCGCCTCAGGGCGTTTAGGAGTGACTGGGCGGCTAGCCAGTCAGGGGCGCGCACACTGTTCTTTAAGGACTTCAGGGGATGCGGTGCGCCGGACTTCCACGGGGTGAAGGACCTCATTGCTGCCAGGAGATGGATTGCAGACATGGAATCTGCCCAGTTGACGAGCTTCTGCCCTGAGGGTGTAACGCCCATAAAATTTGAGCCAAATTAAAACATTTTAATCATTCAAAAACCATTACGTTCATACAACTCGTTTTCAAAATAGTTTAAACATCAGAGTATCCCCCAGAACCATATCATATAAATCATAAAACATGAGGAGCGGTACGATCACGCCTTCGCCTTGCCACGATCTCCTGAAGTACCTGAAACAATACACTGAAACTGTAAGCCCGAAAGCTTAGTGAGTTACCCCCAAAATACCAACCACACATAAACATACTCATAACATATCATAAATAGAACAGCCACGCACATCGGGTCTACTGTGTGACTGGTCCGCTCGCACCGGGCCTTCAGTCCACCTGGTCCACCCTCCGAGTCTAGCCATGTACATCGAGTCTACAGTGTGATTGGTCCGCCCGCACCGGGCCTTCAATCCACCTGGTCCACTCTCTGAGTCTACAGTATGACTGGTCCGCCCGCACCGGGCCTTCAGTCGGCCTGGTCCACTCTCCGAGCCTCGGCACGTCTGGTCCGCCCTCTTGGGGCCTTCAGCCTATCCGGACCGCTCGCTGGGCCTTCGGAATATCCGGTCCGCCCTGGGTATGTTGGCCTACAGCACAAAGCAGGACCCGCCTCAACCCAACCTCAGTCCAACAACCATGTGCACATAAACATATAATCATATAACAATCCTCAACCAGACAAACAGTCTAACAGATCACATAGCATATCAATATCCTAACCAGGACTTCCGACCTAACCGGTCGCTAGCATAACATTACCCTATATCTCGGGTACCGACCTTAACCAGGTCTCTAACACATACCATCCTAACTACCAGGATGCAGACATAACAAAGCAGTAACATAACAACAACTACCCGGATTTCCATCCGATAAAGGGCCGAGCTTGGTGCCGTAGACCCTGTCGATATAGTGAGGATAACTCACCTGCAACTGCCGACTTGAAGAAATAAGACCACGCTGCTCCGACCACCAGCACGAACTCCACCACTGATCATTACCAATAACCAAAACCAATAAACACCAATAATTACCAAAATACCCTTGGAAGTCAAACTGGTCAACCCTTGGTCCAAGTCAAAGTCCTCAATCAAAGTCAACCTTCCTGGTTGCCCCTACTCGCCGAGTCAACCCGTTGACTCGTCGAGTTCCTATGCTCAGAAACTCCCATGCCACGACTCAACTCGCCGAGTTGCCCCAAGACTCGTCGAGTCCAACAAGCTCTGAGTCCCTTCTTGCTCAACTCACCGAGTCATCCCTCGACTCACCGATTCACAGCTCAACCAGAAAAGGCTAGGGTTCCACGACCAGACTCGCCGAGTCCAAGCATAGACTCGCCGAGTCCCAGGCAATCTTCAACAGACTCGCCGAGTTGTTCTTCCAACTCGTCGAGTCCATGCACATATTCATACAACTCGTCGAGTGCACCCATGTGACTCGCCGAGTCCAAACGTGACATCTTCATTCAGACGATTTTAGGCCATTTCATTGCTTCCAATACATAGATCTGGACTCCTAGGGCCAAATTCACATGTAAAGTTTCCAACTTTACGTGCATGGAAGGCTCAACAAGCTCCAACCAAGCTACAAGAAGGTTTTTGGACAAAGACACTCTCAATCAAGTCCCATGGCTGATGCTTTCTGCCCTCATGGCTCCAATACCACCTAGATCTGAAGTTGCAACCTCAGATCTAGCCTCTATACCCAAAATAGATTTCAATCATGCTAAAGAATCCCCAAAACAACCACCATGGGTGACAATAAGGAAAAAGGCTTAAGGAGGTGACTTCTTACCCCAAAGATGAGTCTAAACTGATGTAGACTTCAGATCCACAAGCTCTCTTGATGCTATCCTCAACTTCCTCCAACTTCTCTTCACCAATTTCTTCCTCCAAGCTTCACTCTTCTCAACAATGGAGTCTCTCACGATTTAGGGTTTCTCTGGAACACTCAGGGGAGATAGAGGGTGAAATGGAGGCATATTATTCTTTAAATAGGGTGCAAACCCTGAAAATAGGGTTTCATATTCCAGCACCGACTCGCCGAGTCCAGCCCCGACTCGCCGAGTCGGGTCACTTATTCACGCGGTCCACTCGCGACTCGACTCGCCGAGTTACCTTTCCAACTCGCCGAGTCCAAACCTTCATTTACACTTTACACCCCCAATCTCTTGCTCTGGAACTTGGTATGTTACAGAGGGGTCGAAGGTTCGGTACGCTGCGAGTTGCTTGAGGGACAGGGCTAGAGATTGGTGGGAGTCGGTTGGTGATTCTTTGGGAGCCTCAGTCATTGAGGCTATGACCTGGTCTGACTTTGTGATCACGTTTAGGGCGGAGTTTGTGTCGGCTGTGGAGCTTCAGCAGCTGGCCAGGGAGTTCTTCGACATAAGACAGACTACTAAGACGGTGGCGGAGATTACCGCTAAGTTTCGGGAGAGGGCCTTATTAGTGCCTCAGTATGCAGGAGATGAGGAGATGCG